TATTATATTATATTATATTATATTATATTATATTATATTATATTATAATATTAACTATATTATGAATTCATGAGTAAAGTAAGCCACCAGTTAGCTTAGAGGCCTTGTGATCTAGTTGCCTGGAAATGTCATCACGGACACACGAAGCTTGCTCCACTGATGCCCTAGGCATTCCTCCACGCAGTCAGCCTGACAGTGGAGATGAACCACTTTCTTATGAATGCGTGTGACACAGCGACAGGATGCAGCAGAGCATGGCCGCCATTTTACCGGTGCCTCCGTCCCTTCACTGTTGCTTTGCTCTACTGTACTTGCAGGGTTGTGTGTACGTGTCCAGACACGTGTGTAGAGGCGAGGACAACTTCCAGTGTCATCCCTCAGTCCCCATTCACTGTGGTTTGTGTGGACAGTGACTTGAGTGGATTAATCCACCCTCACCACACAGACTAGGAAAGCAGCCAGCAACCCTCAGGGATCTGCATGTCTCTGCCTCGCCCGTGCCAGTATTACAAGAAGGAGCCAGCACACCCAGCCTGGCTTTTTTGTTTAACACAATGTCCTCCACTTTTACTCACATTGGCAAACAAGATGGGGTTTTACTCTCTTAATGGCTGAGTAGTACTCTGTTGTGTAAATGCGCCACATTTCCTGTATCCATCACTTTATGAACATTTGGGATGTCTCCGTCTCTTGACTGCTGTGAGTGGTGTTGCCATTATCATAGAAGCATCGGTTCCTATTGGTATTTAATCAGTGAAGGTAGGGGAGGAGTCTGATCCCATGGGATCACGCATATATTTAATGGGGAAAAGCAAAAGGAATATGACAGTCACTACACTGCCAGACTGTGCACACTTAGGAAGTGGGAAGGGAAAATGACCTCTGTATAGGAGCCTTGCTCCAGCTGCTGACGACGAGGGGTGTTAGCAGGCACTAGTTCACTCACTTGTTAAGTGGGCAGTGAGGAATCCCCACTGGTGTCCAGCGGGGATTCCTCAGCGTTACACTAATAACCGTATATGGCACAGTCTTGGGGAAACAGCTAAGGACTGTAGTATCTGTTGTAAATATCAAATCAAAATCGAGCCTTTCAGCCTGACTTCAGGTGGCAGACCTCACTTTCCACCTCATCAGAGACGGGGTCTTCTGCTCACCCCCTCAGCATGCCTGACTAGCATCTGTGAGTTTCCAGGGATCGTCCTGTCTCCGCCTCCCATCTTGCCACGGGGAACACTGGGATTACAAATGCATGTCATCACGCCCACCTTTTTGAGCATTGTGAAGATCTGAACTCTGCTCATCTTGCTTGTACAGTGAGCATTTTACCCTCTGGGGAATCACCCCAGCCCTCAGGTGAGGAATCTTTAGAAAAATAATCAGAGAAAAAAGGAAAGTGCTGAGCTGGAACCAGAGATGAGGAAGAGAGAAACATTTTAGGTCAAAGGATGATGAAGTCCACAGAACTAACACAACATAAACACTATCATAAATAAAATAGTATTATATTAGAGATAATTGTAAAAAAAAATAATAAAGTTGGTTTTAGCAGCTCCTGTCACCAAAGACAGCAGTTACATGTGATGCTTTGTTATTTTGTTTCATTATATGACCTTCCATGTGTGTCCCATAATGTATGTTGTAAGTCTTAAACATAGATAATAAAATGTATTTAAAGATAATAAAATTCTAATTAAAAGCAGAAATATAGTGCGTATGTGCTAATTCTCAACAGCTTGCTTCATGGTCATGCTCCCTGACCTTGAAGGGATCAGGGGGAAGGAGAAGTGAGTGACTCATATAAACTAGTTTCTTTATTGTGACTCAGATCAATCAGTGAAGACCTGAGTCATGGGAGAAACCCAACACACCAAGTGGCTGGGCGTTGATACAGCCTTGGTTAGCTAAACTTCTTCTTCTCTGTCCCAATCCTAGAAGAAATTCAGGAAAAGTTCTCGTTCTCATGGGAAAGAAGAAAAGACATTTGACATCACTTTCTCTATGAGGTAGTTGAACTCTACAGTATATTTTAGCAGCATGATGGAGGACAGTATGGTCCTCCAATGCTGTGACTCCCCAATATTATGACCTGCCAACACCATGACTGCACAACACTGTGACCCCCAACACCATGACCCCGAACACCATGAGCCCCCAACACTATGATCCCCAACACTGTGACCCCCAATACCATGACCCCCAACACCATGACCCAATCTGAAGGATGTGCAGAAGGCAGTAGCCCCAAACAGTTGTCTACATTGGCCTAGCAGAGGGTGACTTTGGAGACTTTACTTCTAGACACTTAAAGCCCAGGGCTGAGATCTCTAACACTGTCCTTTCTACTCTAATGCTTGTAGAAGAACTCTGGCAGTGATGTCACCCGGTCCCACAAGGTGGCATCTTTGAGAGACACTTAATAGAATGTAGTGAAAAGTTGCTTCTGACTGTGGATGCCATGTAATTAGACACTCACACACGCACACACATGTGAGCTTCCTTAAGCTGCTCTTGTCAGGTAACCATTTTGTCTCAATAACCGCTGATAATTTACTCCTGGGCTGAAAAAAAAAAAAAAGGATAATTGTGGAAAACTTCACAGCTTATTCTAACTCAGCCCAGGTTGTGTAGCTGCCCCCAAACACATTTCTTGAGTTTTATCCAAACCACAAATGCATAGTAACAGCATTCGATAAGACTTGTGACCAGCACTGGACTCTGTGTGCCTGCAGAATGGGCTCTACTGTGCTGCCCAGGCAAGGTGCAGGGCCCAGCTCTCTTGAATGCCTCAGCCAGTAAGGGGTGGAGCCGGCTCTGCACAGCCCTTGGACATCAACATGGTCCCAGGTGGCAGCCCAGACAAGGGACATCCACATAGCCTCTGGTGGTAGCATGGGTCACAGACATCAACCCTCTTGCTGCGTGGCCACAGACCCAGACATAGCCCTCTACAGCAGCATGGCCTGAGACTTCACCATGGCCTCTGGCAGCAGCGCAGGCTACTCACATACATCAGGCTGTTCCTCAGCACCTCCGAGTTCTGCCTCACTTCATAGAGCTTGAACCCTTCTGCTTCTCTCTCTTCCATCTCTCCACCACACACTTGGGGTGGCTCCTGCTTTGAGTGAGCCTCTGGCCACCTTAATTTTTTGAGAGAAGGTTTCCTCACTGAACTGCCAGCTCAGCAGTTTGTCTAGGTGGCTGACCCTCTGGTCCAGGGGTCTTCCTGGATTTGCCTCCACACAGAGGTGGGATCATAGTCACATGCCACTGTGCCTACTTTGTATGTGGGTGCTGAGGAGTGAACTCGGGTCTTACTGCTTAGATTGTAAGTGCTATGTACTAACTCAGCTAGCCTCATCCCCCAGATGTAGTTTTCTATGTATTAGTATTTTAGCTCTAAATGAGACGGTATGATTGTCCAGTTTCTTTTAGTTTAATCTTTTTAAAATGTATGTGTATGGGTGTTTGGGCTGTATGTATATCTGTGTACCATGTTAGTGTCTGGTGCCTACGGAAGCCAGGAGAGAGTATCAGATAAACTGAGACAAGAATACAGACAGTGGAGAGTCACCATGTGTCTTAGTGAGGGTTGTACTGAACAGACACCATGACCAAGGCAAGTCTTATAAAGGACAACATTTAACTGGGACTGGCTTACAGGTTCAGAGGTTCAGTCCATTTTCATCAAGGCGGGAGCATGGCAGCATCCAGGCAGGCATGGTGCAGGAGGAGCTAAGAGGTCTACATCTTCATCTGAAGGCTGCTAGCAGAATACTTACTTCCAGGCAGCTAGGAGGAGGGTCTTAAAACCCACACCCACAGTGACACACCTACTCCAACAAGGCCATACCTTCTAATAGTGCCACTCCCTAGGCTGAACATATACAAACCATCACAGAGGGGCCCATGGCTCCAGCTGCATATATAGCAGAGGGCTGCCTTATCTGGCATCAATGAGAGGGAAGGCCCTTGACCCTGTGGAGGCTCGATACCCCAGAGTAGGGAATGCTAGGGCAGTGAGGTGGGAGTGGGTAGGTGGGTGGGGGAGCACCCTCATAGAAGCAGGGGCAGAGGAGGATGGGATGAGGGGGATTGCAGAGAGGAAACAGGGAAGAAGGATAACATTTGAAATATAAATAAATAAAATAACCAATTAAAAAAGAAAAATAATTTTAAAGAAGAAATAGTAAAGACATACTATAAAATATTTCAACGTTAACATAAAAAAATTGCCTCCCATTCCCTTAAAGTAATAAATATGCAAATATACAAATGAATGAACAATTGAATGCATGGATGAACAAATGAAACAAAAAAATAACAATAAACGGAGCTCTCACGACCTCTTCTGTCCTCCTTGGGACTGTATGCATATAGTGTACAGACACAGACGCAGGCAAAGCACTCAAACACACACCAAAATAAACAGACAGACAGATAAATAAATAAAGATGTGAGAAAGGGAAAGAGGTCAGTGGCAACGGAATGAAAGAAATGAGTATAAAAAGAATATATTACATATCCATGAAAATCTACATCAAGTCCTGTCATTATGTGTAATTAGCATATGCTAATGAGTATACACAAGCCGCATAGCTGATTCGGGAGCTAATGCTCTCTGTACGTTGGACATAGGGAAACACACAATGGATGATGGCGTTAAAGGAGAGATGAGGGTTTTAGACCAGGGATGACAGACAAAGCTCGCAGCATGGTAGGAGGTAGCCAAACAGACTGAGAGAAAAAAGCACAGGGCTCTGGGCCAGCCTTCGGCAGGCCTGCTGGAGCTGAAAGACCTATCTAACTCATTGCAAAAGGCTCTAAGAAAGCCCCCACCTATTTCAGAAAAGAGGTGAGAACTCATTAGCAAACAGTCACATTCAACAACTAACCAGGCAGGAGTCAGGGATGTGATAAATACCGTGACCTAAAGCAACATTCCCTCCAGGGAAGTCAGGGTAGGGAAGTCAGGGTAGAAGCTCAAGTAAGGAACCTCGAAGCAGGAGCTGATGTAGAGGCCTTGGAGGATCACTGCTTAGTGCCTTGTTCCCCATGGCTTGCTCAGACTGCTTTCTTACACAACCCAGGATCACCTGCTCAGAGGAGGCCACACCCACAGTGGGCGGAGCTTTCCCCATCGGTCATTAATCAAGGAAACGCCCCACAGACTTGCCGACAGCCCAATCTGAGAGAGAGATTTTCTCTTTTGAGGTTCCCTCTTCACAGATGATTGAACCTAGTTTGAATCAAGTTGACACAAAACTATCCAATAAACCCCAGGACTGGATGTGCAGCGTGTAAACACAGCATGATCACCTCCCTAGATGGGCCAGGGAAGCATGCACAGGGTGTGGCTCTCTCTAACCGGCCAATTGATGCAATTACCTATTTGTCCGTTTTCTGTCCAGTCCTACAACGACGATCAGATAAAGAAGCCGAAAGGACTTTTTTCTCTCTTAAGAATCCCCCACACCCACTTTGGGGGGGGGGTCTTTCATTTTTCCTCAATTTCTCTAGGTAAAGTTTGCTACTCAGACTAGAGAGATCGCTCAGTGTTTACCAGCACTTGCTGTTCTTGCAGAAGACTCTGGTTCAGCTCCCAGCACCCACACAGTGGCTCACAACCATCCAGAGCTCCAGTTCCAAGGGATCTCATGCCCTCTTCTGGTCTCCATGGCCACCAACCATGCACTGGTGCACAGGATAGCAAAGCACTCACACACATAAAAGAAAGTAAAAATAATAAGTAACGTACCTGTGACTGTCTGCATCTTTAATTCTCTCTGGTGTGAGAAATGAACTGAAAAGCCACTATTTCCGGTTAAGTTTTAAAGGCCGTTTAATTTCTCGTGTCCATGAGAGA